GTATGATAAGTAACTAATAATCATGAGTTAATGGATTTAAAGCTTCACATAATGCACACAAGTTAGAAAGCACTAAGTTCTGTACTGGTTGTCTTTTTACTTCTTCTGAGATCTCTGATTCTGTTGTTAGCTCAACTGCTACATATACATTGATGCAACATCATTTAACCTTCTTGATCTGAGTAATCATTCATTGTGTTTCTCTCCATCACACAGCTGCTGGACTGGGGAGACTAGAGATCTCTCTTGTGAGGCTGGGAAATGGATGGAACTCGGAGCAACATACATTGGTATACACCATGTCACTCCCAATATACCCATTCTATGATCATTTCTATTTCAGGGGGTTGCTGCAGAGTAGGCCCTGAAGATATCAAATCTCTGAGAAATACAGTTGACCTCTTCAATCAGAACGTTTCAGCAACACACAAACTTTCATGACGCGCCGCCGATATATTATATAGGTGAATATATATGTGCATGCGCATAGTAGAAAAAGGGGCGTAACTATACTCCTGAGAACTTTGTTGTGGTATTGAAAAAGTCGTCATGGCGGAAGGCCCAGACCCCAGAGACAAGCCGCTGGAGGAGCTGGAGAGAGAGATCACGTGCGCCGTGTGCCATGGAGTCTACCAGCAGGCCAAGTTGCTTCCCTGCAACCACTACTACTGCTCGACGTGCATCGAGAAGATGGCGGCCGCCTCTCGAGGTAGGCCGTTACACTGCCCCGAGTGCCGCAAGGAGACGAGTCTCCCTCCCGGCGGCGTGGCCGCGCTCGAGCCCGCCTTCTTCGTGGAGAGAATGAAAGACGTGTACGGGAAGATGGCAAAGGCGGAGGGGAAAGTGGAGGCGTTTTGCGAGCAGTGCTCAGCGGCAAAGTCCGTCGCCTTCTGTCGACAGTGTACCGAGTTCATTTGCGGCGATTGCGCGCGTTCCCACCAGAAAATGAAGGTCTTCGCGGGTCACGTTGTCGCTAGTCTGGAAGATTTGAAAAAAGGTGGTGCAAAGAGCATCCCTTTGAAAGAAGCGCCACCTGTCGCATGTGCGGACCACGGCGAGCCTAAGAAGCTCTTTTGCTTCGACTGTGACCGCCTCATCTGTCGAGACTGCACCATCATCGACCACAGAGACCACAAGTTTGAGTTTCTGACCAAGTGTGCCCCCGAGAGCAGGAAGACACTGCGCCACTCGCTGGCTCCACTCCAGAAGGTGGTGGCTGACATGGAGGGTGCCGAGAAGACCCTGGTTTCTGAAGAGACTAAGGTGGAGAGGCAGAAGGAGGAGGTGTGTAGGTCCATCCAGCAGTCGTTTGACCAGCTGAAGGCTGTTCTGGACCAGAGGAAGGCAGAGCTGGTGAAGAAAGCCGGCTCACTGGCCCAGGAGAAGAAGGAAGCTCTGGCGGCTCAGAAGAGGGTGCTGCAGGTGGCACAGAAGGAGGTCCAACTTCTGGTGGAGTTTGTGGAGAGGAACGTGGAGGGCACGAGCGACCAGGACCTCATGAGCATCCGGACACAACTGGCGACCAAGATGGAGGAGGAAGAGAAACGTCATCGACAGCTGTCCCTGGAGCCATCAGCCACTGCCGACATTACCTGCAACCTTCCCTCTCCCCACGTCATTCCTGATGATCTTGGCTCTGTAGTCGTGACGAAACCACACCGCGACTCTTTACAGAACTCCCGAGCACCTATTGAATGTGGTTCCCCAGTGAAAGTGAGTCTGGCTGCCCCCACAGCCTCCCTGGAAGACGTCTCTGCCAGTCTGAAATGTGTGGCGGATCCATCATCATCACTAGAGGGAGAGGTGGTCGGGAATGGTGTAGGGATCTTCAGCATCTCCGTGACTCCTCAGGTCAGAGGTCGACATGATCTCATAGTGAAAGTGAAGGACAAAGAGATTGCGGGGAGCCCCTTCCGAGTCTTTGTCAAATTACCTCCTCTCCAACTGGGACGAGGAAAGCTTCGTAGCATAGGGAGCTTGGAGTGTCCATGGGGAGTAGCCGTTAACAACAAACAGCAGCTGAGTAGTTACTGAGAGTGGAAGTGGTTGTGAAAGGGTAACTGTTATGACCAGAAATGGAGAGAAAGTTCAGACCATTGAGTGTTATCAATTCAAAGATCTTCGTGGAGTAGCAGTTGCTTCAGATGGAGCTATCTATGTCACTGACATTGATGCCAAGTGCCTTTTCAAATTCAGTTCAAATGGTGAACTCCTGAAAACAGTTGGTGGTGAGCTACAGAAGCCATACTCTGTCAAGATCATTGACAATCAACTCTATGTTGTGGACAGTGCCAGCCAGTTGGTGAAGATATTTGACATGGACTGCAATGTTGTGGGAACTATCATAACAAAGGAGTGTCCTGGGCCTGGAGACATAGCACAAGGTCCTGAAGGTCTGTATGTGGCTGGTCAAGGGAAGATTAGTGTGTACAGGTGTGCTCCAAATGGAGTCTTCATCCGCCACCTCAATCTATCACCATCTTCACTGGAGCTCTCTGAGTTCAAGGGAATATGTTTTGATACCAGATGTGGTCATATCATTGCTAGTGATCGGCGTAATGGTGTGTATGTATTCAAACCCAGTGGTGAGTGTGTTGGTCATGTCAGTAGTGATGTCATCCCTGGTCCAGCTGGAGTCACTGTTGATGAGGATGGCCTTGTGTATGTGTGTGGTTGTACTGGTGGTGGTAAAGTTTTCATCTTGTAATTTTTAAACTACTCTTATGAACTAGAACATTAGTTGTTGATGATGACATGCATATATACACATGTAATTATTTTAAGTTGATATTGGCACTACAATGAAATAAACTCAGGGTGGTATTAAACTCAGGGGACTGTGTATAACGCACTGAGCTATCCACAATTAGCAGGATGCATGGGACGTCTCAAAATAGTCTTGTACCCAGACACTGTAGGCAAGCTAATTTGCCGAGTCAGCAGCCTTGTAATCGCGATTATCGTGAATAGGCAACCTGGATGGAGTTTTGTGGTCGCACATGCTTATGCATTTCACTTACTGAAAACTACTGTAAAGACTGATGAGGATGGCTTGGTGTGTGCATGAATAGTAATTTATTCTAACAGGCATTTGCAAAGTACAGAAAATGTAATCATTCATGATGTCAGTAAATGCAGCAGGCTATGGTTTGAGTCCCAACTGGTCCTGAATGACTTTGACAGTGCAGCCGTAACAGGAGTTAATCAGCTTTGCAAACCCCGTGTTCTTTGACTGCAGGGGAAACGGAGGAGGGAGCATGTTAGCTGGGAATGTGTAAGATACAGTGAATATTGTGTGTTCATTTGATCCAAGGGTACAGTCGGGCAAACTATGACTGAAAAGAACAGTCAAGCTCACCTTTTCCAAACCTCGTGTAGTTCTGCTCTTCATTGCTCTGATGAACTGTCTGTGACTCAGACTGCCATCCACTGTGGACACAGCATATCATGTATATAGTGCAAAGCAGCAAAATCATACACATAATAAAAGTAGGAACTCTCTACCCACCCAAGCTTACACAAAAAGGTATGTTGGCCACCCCCCAACATGCTATAATGAGATTCATAGTGTATGCAGGTAGTTAGATTGACTACTCAACTGTTTTCATCGAAGAGTGTGAAGATCATGGTCACCAGACTGTCCTGTAGGTCAATACCAGCCACTGCCTGAGCCACTTGCTTCAGGTCACCTAAGAGAAGAAAAAGAGGGGGCAAATAGTACAACCCCTGATGACAGAAAGGGGACGCTACTAAAGACACAAAGCATACTGGCAAACAGCAAACCCTTTTGCTATTATCCACAGACTACAGTGGAACCTCCGATAAGGGACCCTCTAATATAGGGACGACCTCTCTACAAAGGACACTTGTTTCAATCCCATGCTAATACTTTAGTTTGATCTCTGAACGGGACAACCTCTATACGTGGGACAATATCTTAAGTCTGGGAACGACTCTAACTATTATAGATCTGGGAACGAAGCTCATCTTAAATCTGAGACTGAAACTCACTATCTTAGGAACAAAACTCACTGTTATAAATCTGGGAAAGAAGCTCACTAGAATGAAAAGCACTAAAGTGCAAACCCTCGGCGAACTGCGCATGCGCGGTACCACTAATTGATGGGCTGGGCTTTTCTTTTCTTTACTCGTTGTATCGCGCTAGTAGCTCGCGGAGAGTCTGGCACGGGCTAGCTACAGTAGTAGATTGCATGCGGGAGTCGATACATGCCCTTCGTTGTGACTTCTTGTGCCTTCAAGATACACAGAGCGCGCGGACGCAGTCGAGGTAAGCCTGTGCTAATTACCAATTGGCTTGTTCACTTGGTTTTCACGCCATAACTTTAGAACGCAGTAGTTTTACGAAAATCGCCTTTTTTTAAAATCAACCCAGTGTAGCACTGAACCCGATCAAATCGCAATTTACCTGATTTCGTGCGCGCGGTGGCAGAAAACGTGGTAACAGACAGAATGACAGACTGACACACTTACGAAACAACTACCGTAACCCTCGCTGCGCATGCGCGCCGAGGGTTAACAAAGCAAAATCTGGGAACAAAGCTTACTATAGATATGGGAATGAAGCTCACTTGCAAGACACATACACACTTGCAAGACACATACATACATACATACATTATTGTTAGCAGCTTCTAAATTTTATAAGTAAGGAATATAAGGAATGAAGCTCACTTGGAGCTGCTATGGTGATAATTAGGGGCTTCAGGGGTATAATGTAACTTCAGGAAAATTCCATAGACTTATGGTCCGAGTGACAAATACACTTCTTATCAACTAACCATCAGGTGATGCATGGTATATATGATCTTGGAATGAAGCTCACTATCATGGATCTTGGAATGAAGCTCACTATCATGGATCTGGGAATGGAGCTCACTATCATGGATCTGGGAATGAAGCTCATCTTAAATCAATGATTTGGAATGAAGCTCATCTTAAATCTGAGACTGAAGCTCACTGTTATAAATCTGGGAAAGAAGCTCACTAGCTATTTTAGATCGTGAACGAAGCAAAATCTGGGAACGAAGCTTACTATAGATCTAGGAATGAAGCTCACTTGCAAGACGAACTCATACATTATCGTTAGCGGCTTCTGGTAATAGACTTAACAAACAGCCTAAAGCCCTACAATGTCAATGAGCATGAGTGGCACATCATGTAGTTTTCTATGAGCTGTAGTCATGAACGATTCTGGTGTACACTTATGCCTTGCAATCGCAAGGCTTATTGGCCTCCAGGCTTATGATGTGCATAGTTTTAACCATTAGACTCACTGGTTAATATATTTTTGTGTGCAGCAAATTTGCGTACATATTCACTACGTACGGTAATACTTCTATCATAGGAATGGTTATCCTGTATTATGCCTGTGCATTTGAGATTTTCACGTTTCACTTTTAAAGGGGGTGCGCTATATTGCGCAAATAATTATGCTTTAAAGAAAAGCTGTTGGTTGTTTTTCTGCAGTTCTTATATAGTAGTGGATTGCCTATATCTGTCATTAATGGCAATATTTGTCGATGAATGTAACAAGCAAAATCTTTTTCTACACGAGTTGATGTTTATTAATTAATCAGTTGTCAACTAACACTAATAATCAGCTAATGTTCAAAGGCTAGCTAGCTACTGTTATTATACAAAATGTCCACATGTCCATAAATGAGGTGCTCAGAACCGAGCAGGTCGACCAACAAGGCAGCTGGGAGGCAGGCACTCTTTGGATCCATCGCCTTGTTTCATATAGATACTGTCAGTGTCATCCTCTAGTATACGAGCAAAGTTGTCTTGATCTTGAAGCTACGATAAGGCAGGCAATGGTACCAATAATGAATTACTTTATACTTTTTGCCGAGCGTGTTAGCGTGAGGCAACTACTCCGGATTGTATATACGTACGTGTCCGTCACGCTTAAGAATGTCAATTAGTCACGCTTAGGAATGTCAATTTCCGCCGTGCGCGCATAGCGCATGAGTCTGGCTTCGCGCGCAGTCAGTAGAGCGCGCGCCTCTTGGCGCGAGGCAAAATATACGCGTGCGCATTCATATATTATACCTTCATTGACCGAGCAGGTCGACCAGCAAGGCAGCTTGGAGGCAGGCACTCTTTGGATCCATCGCCTTGTTTCATATAGATACTGTCAGTGTCATCCTCTAGTATACGAGCAAAGTTGTCTTGATGCACTGGATAAGCTGCAGCTACAACAAACGTAGCAGAGATAAGAATCAGCATAATCTTGACATTCGTCATTATCAGCGTGTATATTTGTTAGAAGTTGTCCTGGGCTCTGGCAGAATGGAGGTCAAGAAACAGACTGAGGCTGTGAAATGGTTACTTTGCAGCTTTTTATATTCTCACCACAAGCATTACAAGTGGTGGACAGGTTTTCTTCAGGTGAATGAGCATTTCCTTTGAGGTGGAATCACAACACTCGACATTATCAAGAGTTGTAGTGAATCCCTGGAATGACGATCCACAGTAGAGGCCTTACAGGTGACATTATGGGAGTGTAGCACACTAGCACATCTGATACTTCATTGGAACACCAGAGAATCCCTTTACTCTTTTATGTAAACTTACATGTACCTACCACTATGTAATGTCACACTTCTAGGAACTCGTACGCGGAAACGACATGTGGTCTGCACCATAGAGTCATACAGAGAAAGGCTTTGTGACACAGCACAAATTTAGGAGAAGATGCTTCCAGGAACTAGCCTCCCTTGCAGCGCTAGTCAATCCTGGTTGGGTTGTAGTTGTACTTGACTTTGTTGCTGCAATCAAAACTCTCTGCGCATGTGCAATAACAAGGGGCGTAACCGTGAGGGCGCCGGCGAGCGACTACCAACTGGGCAGTTTCTGGGGCTAGATCTCCTGCAGACACTCATAGGCGGGTATTGTAACGTAGAGTGCCTGCTGTTACATCCGGAATGGCGGCGAAGCCCGGACCAGAGACGCTGGAGGAGAGAGATCACGTGCGCCGTGTGCCACGGAGTCTACCAGCAGGCCAAGTTGCTTCCCTGCAACCACTACTACTGCTCGACGTGCATCGAGAAGATGGCGGCCGCCTCTCGAGGTAGGCCGTTACACTGCCCCGAGTGCCGCAAGGAGACTAGTCTCCCTCCCGGCGGCGCGGCCGCGCTCGAGGCCGCCTTCTTCGTGGAGAGAATGAAAGACGTGTACGGCAAATTGGCCAAGGCGGAGGGGAAGGTTGAGGCGGTTTGCGAGCAGTGTTCCGCAGCCCAGTCTGTCGCCTTCTGCCGGCAGTGCGGGGATTTCATTTGCAGACGACACTGTCCTCAAGACATGAACATAATTTGCTGGATCGTTTTCTTCAGGTGAATGAGCATTTCCTTTGAGGTGGAATCACAACACTAAGAGTTGTATATTATAGTCAATCCCAGACCATGGTTCTTAGAAAGCTCAACAGAATCTGAGATCCTGGAATGACGGTCCACAGTAGAGGCCTTACAGGTGACATTATGGGAGTGTAACTGAACTAAAACATCTGATACTTGATTGGAATACCAGAGAATCCCTTCACTCTTTTATGTAAACTTATACCTACCACTATGTATGTACTTCTATAGGAACTCTTACCCAGTTTCTTATTATTGGAAACGACATGTGGTCTGCATCATAATGTCAAATAGAGCATAAGGCTTTGTGACACAGCACATTAGCAGAAGATGCTTCCAGGAGTAACCCTCCCTTGCGCGCTGCAGCGCGCAGCGCTAGTCACAAATTGAAAATATCTGCGCATGCGCAATAATAAAGGGCGTAACCGTGAGTGCACAAGAAGAATGGCGGAAGGCCCAGATCCCAGAGACAAGCCGCTGGAGGAGCTGGAGAGAGAGATCACGTGCGCCGTGTGCCAGGAAGTCTACCAGCAGGCCAAGTTGCTTCCCTGCAACCACTACTACTGCTCGACGTGCATCGAGAAGATGGCGGCCGCCTCTCGAGGTAGGCCGTTACACTGCCCCGAGTGCCGCAAGGAGACGAGTCTCCCTCCCGGCGGCGTGGCCGCGCTCGAGCCCGCCTTCTTCGTGGAGAGAATGAAAGACGTGTACGGGAAGATGGCAAAGGCGGAGGGGAAAATGGAGGCGTTTTGCGAGCAGTGCTCAGCGGCAAAGTCCGTCGCCTTCTGTCGACAGTGTACCGAGTTCATTTGCGGCGATTGCGCGCGTTCCCACCAGAAAAATGAAGGTCTTCGCGGGTCACGTTGTCGCTAGTCTGGAAGATTTGAAAAAAGGTGGTGCAAAGAGCATCCCTTTGAAAGAAGCGCCACCTGTCGCATGTGCGGACCACGGCGAGCCTAAGAAGCTCTTTTGCTTCGACTGTGACCGCCTCATCTGTCGAGACTGCACCATCATCGACCACAGAGACCACAAGTTTGAGTTTCTGACCAAGTGTGCCCCCGAGAGCAGGAAGACACTGCGCCACTCGCTGGCTCCACTCCAGAAGGTGGTGGCTGACATGGAGGGTGCCGAGAAGACCCTGGTTTCTGAAGAGACTAAGGTGGAGAGGCAGAAGGAGGAGGTGTGTAGGTCCATCCAGCAGTCGTTTGACCAGCTGAAGGCTGTTCTGGACCAGAGGAAGGCAGAGCTGGTGAAGAAAGCCGGCTCACTGGCCCAGGAGAAGAAGGAAGCTCTGGCGGCTCAGAAGAGGGTGCTGCAGGTGGCACAGAAGGAGGTCCAACTTCTGGTGGAGTTTGTGGAGAGGAACGTGGAGGGCACGAGTGACCAGGACATCATGAGCATCCGGACACAACTGGCGACCAAGATGGAGGAGGAAGAGAAACGTCATCGACAGCTGTCCCTGGAGCCATCAGCAACTGCCGACATTGCTTGCAACCTTCCCTCTCCCCACGTCATTCCCGATGATCTTGGCTCTGTATTCGTTCAACCAACTCCAGCACTCGTTCAGAACCCTGGCACCTTTGAATTGGGTTCCCAAGTGGAAGTAAAGATCTTTGCGCATACAGCCTCCCTTGGGAAGACGTCTCTGCCAGTCTGAAATGTGTGGCGGATCCATCATCATCACTAGAGGGAGAGGTGGTCGGGAATGGTGTAGGGATCTTCAGCATCTCCGTCACTCCTCAGGTCAGAGGTCGACATGATCTCATAGTGAAAGTGAAGGACAAAGAGATTGGGGGGAGCCCCTTCCGAGTCTTCGTCAAATTACCTCTCTCCCAGCTAGGACGAGGAAAGCTTCGTAGCATAGGGAGCTTGGAGTTGCCATGGGGAGTAACCGTTAACAACAAACAGCAGCTAGTAGTTACTGAGACTGGGGTTTTAGGTGGTAGGAAAAGGGTAACTGTTATGACCAGAAATGGAAAGAAAGTTCAGACCATTGAGTGCAATCAATTCAGTGTTCCTTTTGGAGTAGCAGTTGATTCAGGTGGAGCTGTCCATGTCACTGACATTAATGCCGGGCGCCTTTTCAAATTCAGTTCAAATGGTCAACTCCTGAAAACAGTTGGTGGTGAGCTACAGAAGCCATGCTCTGTCAAGATCATTGACAATCAACTCTATGTGGTGGACACTACCAGACAGTTGGTGAAGATATTTGACATGGACTGCAAAGTTTTGGGAACTATCATAACAAAGGAGTGTCCTGAGCCTCAAGACGTAGGTCCTGAAGGTCTGTATGTGGCCGGTCAAGGGAAGATTAGTGTGTACAGGTGTGCTCCAAATGGAGTCTTCATCCGCCACCTCAATCTATCACCATCTTCACTGGAGCTCTCTGAATTTAGGGGGATATGTTTTGATACCAGATGTGGTCATATCATTGTTAGTGATCGGTTTAATGGTGTGTATGTATTCAAACCCAGTGGTGAGCGTGTTGGTCATGTCAGTAGTGATGTCATCCCTGTACCAGCTGGAGTCACTGTTGATGAAGATGGCTTTGTGTATGTGTGCAGTTTTAAAGGTGATGTTAAACTTTTCATCTTGTAATAAAATTATTTCAACTATAGTCTTATGAACTAAATTTTTGCTGATCATGGCATGCATACGCATGTGACGCGATTATGTGGCTGAAAATGATTTGCAAAAATTGTTTGCACTTGTTGTGAACCTCAGGTGACTGCACTAAAAGCACTATCTACACAAAAACACTGAGCTATATATAAAGCAGCAGGCTAGGATGCATGGCATGTCCCAAGATAGTCTCATACCCAGACACTGTCCTCAAGACGTGCATTAATTGCCTTACAAAAAAACTACTGCTAAGACTGTTGATGGCAGTTGATGAGGATGTCTGTGTGTGTGCATCTAACACTGGAACCACATGATATCGCTGACCTTATAGAAGGATAGACAAAAGCATATAGGTTACACTATGCCCACGAGATGGTTTAGTGTATGCACTACGAGTGCGCAGCAAGAGTAGTGCATACACTAAACCGTGGAGTGGGTGTAGTGTAACCTATTTGTACCACAGGAATGCGCACTAAGACAATTTTATTAGTATGCATGCCATGGTGTATGAGAGCTCATACACCACATGTGAGTGTATGGCTGAGTCAGCACACCATACACCATGGTATGCATACTAATAAGTTGTCTTAGTGTGCATACACGGCGTGCGGTGCCTTTGATTTCTAGGGCTTCTGTGGTACAAATATAATTGTACACTATAGCTTCATTGGCGAGTGAGCACAAGCAGTCTAATATTTCACTGGTTTTGCAAAACACGATTTAATCATGGTGTCAGTAAATGCAGCAGGCTATGGTTTGAGTCCCAACTTGTCCTGAATGACTTTGACAGTGCAGCCGTAACAGGAGCTAATCAGCTTTGCAAACCCCGTGTTCTTTGACTGCAGGGGGAACGGGGGAGGGAGCATGTTAGCTGGGGGGATGTGTAAGATACAGTGAATATTGTGTGTTCATTTGGTCCAAGGGTACAGTCGGGCAAACATTATGACTGAAAAGAACAGTCAAGCTCACCTTTTCCAAACCTCGTGTAGTTCTGCTCTTCATTGCTCTGATGAACTCTCTGTGACTCAGACTGCCATCCACTGTGGACACAGCATATCATGCAAAGCAGCAAAATCATACACAAGTAGGAACTCTCTACCCACCCAAGCTTATGCAAAAAGGTATGTTGGCCATCCCCCAACACGATATAATGAGATTCATATATAGTGTATGCAGGTAGTTAGATTGACTACTCAACTGTTTTCATCGAAGAGTGTGAAGATCATTGTCACCAGACTGTCCTGTAGGTCAATACCAGCCACTGCCTGAGCCACTTGCTTCAGGTCACCTAAGAGAAGAAAAGAGAGAGCAGATAGTACAACCCCTGATAACAGAAAGGGGATGCTACTAAAGACACAAAGCATACTGATAAACAGCAAACCCTTCTACTATTATCCACAGACTATATACAGTGGAACCTCCGATAAGGGACCCTCCGAGATAGGGATGACCTCTCTACAAGGACACTTGTTTCAATCCCATGCTAATACTTTAATTTGACCTCTGATAGTATATGTGGGACTATATAAATCGTTGGTCTCATAGTGTCCCTTTCAAGTTCTTTCACGTGTGGGTGCAAATCACATGAACTATACACAGTGACTGATTGCCGTATGTCACCACATGGACATGAACCCTGACATAATAGACGTCTCCCACTCCCTGGCCATTGTCTAGCTATGTACTACAGTTGAAAGAGAAGAGAGAAATGGGGGAAGTAAGAAATGGTGCGGGGCTTGTTACCAGGGGTGATGGAGGCTCCGGCAGCCATGTACATACTTAGAGCCATCTCAACGTCGGATATATTCTCCACCAGCTCTGTGAAGGCCTGCACATCTTCAAATGATATTCCTTCCTGTGGTGGAGATCGAAGAGAGGGAGGGATATTAGTGTATAATTATACTGCAGCATTTTGGCTAGATGTACAACAAAAAGGAGCACCAGTGGCCACCACACGCCACCACAAAGGAGGCTTTAAAGGGAATGTAGAATGTAGCAGTATATAAGGGCTAAATTTAGATTCTTGCACTGGGCCCTACTGCTTAGTTCTATCTTTAGTAACCTTTCTAAATTTAGCCCTTATATACTGACACATTCCCTTAAAGTTGGTCCTGATTCTCTCACCTTTCTGTCTCCATACTCTCTCTTGACTCTCTTCATGTACTTCTTCCTCTGCTGGTCGTTCATGTCGGCATATGATAGAACCATCTTGGCAAAGTCCCTCTCGGATATCCGGCTGTCCTCTGGGTCAAACCTGTTGAACTGGTGTATGGGAGAATAGGGGAAGAGAGAGATTTGTAACAATGAGATTTCTTGCAGAGTCCACTAGGTAATGTGGTTCCAGTGATCTGTGGTTGCCGCCCAGCCAAGTTTGTGCCAATTCAGCTATATAATTATTATGTAGAATGACTTTGAGAATTGGATAGTGCAATACGTAGGCACAGGTCTTTCCACACACTCTGTGCAGGTCACCATCACAGTCAGTGGTGTAGATGTGTATGTACACACTTACACTCATAGAGTGGAATATTTCGCACTAACTGGGTGGCATAAACCTTTTTAGTGACTAGGCAAAGGGAAAGACAGGCCAACCAACTATCCCGAACACCTTTACATTAGCTGAGACTGGAGAGTGCAGTGCTCTTAGTACCTCCAGCCAGAGGAGCTCCGTTCTCAACAGTCTGTGAAATGATCTGAACATGTCGACGGTCAGTTTTCCCTTCTTGTCGGCTCCAAAGAAGTGCTCCACCAGGGCATCTCCCACTCCTCCAGCCACGTTGCCGGTCACCAGACGGTCTCTGTGACGAGCTCCCACCGACGTGGACGACAAAATCACGTCCCGCACCTGTGGAGAGGGGAAAGGACAGACAAACACACGATTGTACACTGTAGCTTCATTTGCTACGGAAAGGGATGCACGATAGTCGAAAAGAGAAAAATATGCGTAGAAAAAGAAGTGGAACACAAAAGCAGTGGGCATAATAACAACAAACTGAGCACTACATGATTGGAGAGGGAAACGAATGCGAAATTTCAGCAGTTAAACACGGATCACGTTATATGAAAGTAAAACTACCTTGTCAAATTCCTTAAAGTCGACCTCCCCGTCTCCATTGAGGTCAAACATCTTGAAGGCAATCTCGAAATGCCTCATTGGTGCTGCAGAGACAAACGCAAGCAACATCTCAAATACCTCTTTCATAATATTTCAATGTCCAACCTCAGTCAGTGAGTACACTCATAAATCCTAAGGTATTCAACACAATTTTTAAACACCGCACAACTCGACAGTTAGCTTGAGGCTCTAGTAGGCCCAAAAACACATCCCAGACTTTTATACTGTATATACCAACAACACACGTGCATGTTCATTTAGTGGACTTATTTTAGCTGGCTGCCTATTTTTCCCGGGAATAAATTGACTCTCCCAGCTCACTGGAGATGATGGTGAGGAGGAAGAGGTAGTCAGAGAACGAGATTAGACCATGGTGACCCAGTCTGGCAAATATACTGGCCTCGTCCAATATGACCTCTGACCTTCCTTTTTCTTCCACTGCTCAATGTGGAGACTGCGGAACTGTCCAGACCTAGACCTGAGGCAGGGAGGAGAGGGAGAGGGAGAGGAGGAGGAAGAGGAGAGGAGAGCGGAAGAGGAGAAGGAGGAGGAGGAGGAGGCGCGAATTTGGAAAGTGTTAGGAAACATTCACAATATTATGTCACATTGCCCTAGTGTGGCAGCAAGGCGAGGATAAATCCATTTCTACGACATGATGTGGTGTAGTGAAATGAGATCGAACGTAGGGTGAACCACATCCTTAGTCTCGTGGGCCTGATGGATTAGTGCATACATGTCGAGACACCACACACAAAAAGGTGGAAAAAAACACAATCCCCTCGTCATCTATACATGCACACGCATTGACACATGTCCACAAACAGTGTCCAAGCACACAAAAACCCTTGTTCACTCATAACGTCAAACTAGCAAATTTCCAGTTATCAAACCTTGAGGTTGATGATGCCAGGTGTGATGGACCTCAGGAAGTCCTCTGGGGTCATGAAAATGTGGGCGGAGCCATCCTCCTCCTGGATACTGAGAGTTGCGAAATACCTGAAGATTTTGTCGGGTGTTGAGTAGGCCCTGATTCTGTCCTCGTAGGCTATGAAGTGTCGGTCGTGCAGCGAAATTCGCTTCTTTTTCTTCTTCTCTCCCTCTCCCTCGCCTCCACCTCCATCATCGTCTGATGAGGATTCATCGCTGGAACTAGCAACAGCCATATCTGATTCTGCATCCTGTACAGGAATGACATTTTGTTGGTAGCTTGGCATTATTTGATGTGAAAACTGTGCTTGATGATGACAACAACCACAAACACAGCAAAACTTCAATCGAAGATAATTTTTCAGCCAAATTTTCATTCTCGCCTGCATGCACCTGAATGTGCCACAAACAAGTTTTTGCATGCAATTTGGAGAGTGATTTTTGCTCAAACAAAACACCCACTATAATACGCACATTTATCCCTAAAATTTTCACGCAAAGGAAAGATTAAACTCACAGATAGAGACAGATGTGTAATTGGAATGAGACCCACCTTAACAGCAACCACGCCCCCTTCTCCTCCTTCTGCCTTTCACACTGGACTTCTGGTAGATGAGGTATAGGGAGCCGAGAGCTGCTGTGGCTGACACTGTGGCCAGAGTTAACAATCTAGCTCTCCTTCTTCCTTCTCCTCCTCCACCAGCACCCTCTCCAGTGGAACTAGTAGCTGCTGTCTGGCTGGTCTCGGGTTGAGTGGAGGCAGTAGAGAAAGAGAGGGAGGGGCGTCCGGAGTTACCGCTGTTTGGAGGTGTAGCTGACGCGGCTCGGACGGGGAGACGAGTCAATACCCGCAGAACGGGCGTCAGTCCTGGTCGAAACATCTGTAAAATTTGCGAGGAACACAACACGCACCGAGAGATAGAGGGAGAGCTTGCTAGAAATGGTGTTTGCTAAGACACAACAGTACATGCAGTTTGTTCTAGCTTACACGCAAGTAGTGCTCTAAGGAATCACACACGTAACGATCTACCAAAAAACTTACTTTCTCTCTAATCCCCTGTGTGTATACTGAAACGGAACAGATTACGGGAGACTTCGTAGATTTACGGCATTCCACCAGTGGGCGGGGCAACATTGCTAAGATTACGAGAGAATCCAGAGATTTACGGCATTATTCCAACAGTGGGCGGGGTAAAGCCGTGTCAGATCCCTTTTGGTGAGGCGCAGTCATGGCTCTTCGCTGTATGCTGGGACTGTCTCTAGGGAGAAGGTTCCCGTTGAGCAGAGCAGTGAGACTTTACAGCAGCGGCCAGAGCAGTCAGTGAAGTTGCTTGTACCTGTAGTTGACTTGTTTGCCTTGCCTTGCCTTTCTACCTCGCTACCAAGTTGTTGAGACACGTATTATAGAGTACTCAGGGAAGTGTGCGTTTTGTCGATGTTAGAGGCTCTCTGAGCCTCCTATAGCTATGGTTTCCTGCAGTGCAGCTATGAATCTATGATCGCGATCACCGTTAGCTACACCTCATTAGGTCCACGTAATCATAGGACATTACCCATCACTATTGTAATCAGTGTTTAGTGAGTGTCATTCTTGACCCACTCTTCGAAGCAGGTGTACTTTTGGATGATTTAGTAACATTGCCTTCCTGTTTATCGCAGTCACATTTTTGTGGCATTCTTCTCCACTTTCAACATGTGGTAACGGGTGTAATTCAGTACACTATTGGATGATTTTACAGTTCCTGTTTATTGCCTTTTCATTTTTGCGGCATTCTTCTCCACTTTCAACATGTAGCAGGGGGTGTATACTATTGGAGGGTTCTTTATAGTATATCCTCTCTCTCTCTACTTCCTCCAGTTGAGGTGGGAGTTCGTGAAGGGTTCCCAGTTCTCTCTCTTCCTCTCCCGTCTCGGAATGAGACTTGTGACTTTGTCCTCAGGCCATTCCTCCAGACCGTGGCCCACGTCACCTCCAGTATCAGGAATGAAGACCCCGGAATTGAGAGGTGCATTCAAACTCATAATGGTAGCTTCACTGACAAGTAAAGAGAGCCGAAACTTGTCAAATTCAACTATTTTCTCTTTGTTTGTATATAGACAGAACTGTCCATGCTTTACGAAATTTCAAATACACCTAAAACCGGTATAGTTCCAACAAAATATGCATAACCAATTCAGTTGCTCGCCAACAAGTGTTCTGTATAGTCAGATGGTAGACAGTGGAATGCACGCTTAAAGCAACACTTCTCTGCTTCCTGTCAAGTTTTCATAGCATACAAACATGATTAATTCCCAGGTACTGTACTCGATGTATATTGCAATGTTTTGTTGTTAATATTGTCATCATTCCTTGGTATCATTCCAGCTAATGTGGTTTATTGCTGTAGTGTGCTTGTGTAATTTAATACCACCTCCCACATCGTAAACATTGAGTAGCATTTCTTTTGGCCCTCTCCCTCCCTCCCTCCCTCCCTCCCTCCATTAGAGTTGTTCTCTATTCACCAGACGGGAACAGAATCTCTAGTTCCACTGGAGTCGACCTTCTGCTGCAGTCCGACTTTCATCTCCATGTGAACGACCTAAAATACCACATCAAAATTCCAACCGACAGTAAGCTATCCCTTAGGACCATAGGCACATTGCAACTCTGCTGTGTAGGACAAAAATCTCATTATGGGTTTGATGGGTGTAGTGAGATAGGCAACACTTCTGTTTTTCATACAAGTTGTCCTTTATTTAGGGGTGTGCCTTGTGCACAGGCAACATATAATTATAGTGAGATGGCAGTGAGATAAGGAAAGATATTGGGAAAAAACAAAGTGTCCTGTATCTATTCCTTCAGAGGTTTAGTATTTTAATACTCTGTGTAGTGGTCAGTGGAATGTTGGATGGAGAGAAAAGTCTGTCTGACGTGAGGAATGTCATTCATAAACTCTACACTTCTCTCAACGTGGACAGACATCAGGTAACACAACACTAACCCCCTCTCTTCCTCTTTCTCCTTCCTTTTCTCACTCTTGGCACTCTTTATCCACCTCTTATGGTTCAATCTGTGATATACATACGTAGGACTATACTCTACTACATTGAAGCTTTAGTTAGTACTACATGTCTATCTACTACTACAGCAAATAGACTGGAGATATTTTGTAATTGAGACAAGCCTAGCGGTATAGTGCATGAATACGTCTTCTAGACCATCATGCTCTCTCTCTTATTCTTACATATAGATAAGCCTAGCTGTATAGTGCATGACTACTTCTTCTAGGCCATCACGCCCTCTCTCTCTCTCTTTCTTCTTACTATATACCCCTCCATTCTCCAGCTATCAAAGGAGAGAGAGCTCCGTGGCCAGCTAGAGGCTCTGGCGTCAGAACTGGCTCCACTGGAGACCCAGAGACAGCAGCTGGCTCAGAGGTCTGAGAGAAGAACCAATGGCGGTAACTGACTAGAATCATACTAGAACAAAATGTTGGCGAGCGAGTGCAAGTATTTGCATGAACTAGAAAACGTTAAATGTTTTCACGCGTAATTAGAAAGTTACGGTATGTGCATACATATAATTATCTGGATGACTAGGTAGGCATGTTTCCAATTATAGACAGACACACTGTCGACAGAGCCTTCAACTTGGCAGCATTTATACAGAATTCGCACCTCCTTTTATGGGACTCTCTACCGTTTGCAGTTCTGTGGGCGGGGCTTGGCTGGATGTCCCTCCAGTTTGGCTTCTTTGCTCGCCTCACGTGGTGGGAGTACAGCTGGGACATCATGGAGCCCGTCACCTACTTCGTGGGCTACGGAACCTCCATCCTCATCTTCACCTACTTCGTCCTCACCAGACAGGTATATAATATAGGCCACTATAATAATACACACCGCAGATTGTTGTGGTAATGCCACATACAATCCGTCTTTGCTTTATAATTATATTATATAGTGGAAAGGTTTGAGGAAGTAAAAAGGTTTTTACAAGTGTCGTGCTTCACAGGACTATAATTATCCGGAGGCTCGTGATCGACAATACCTCAATTTCTTCAGCAAGATGGCTACCAGAAACAAGTTTGATGTGGAAAAGTGAGCAACCAGAAATGAGAAAATGAACCTTATAAGGAAACCTAGCCCAAGAATTGAGGACACCACTCTAATAAGGACAACCCCTTAAAAGGACACCTCACTACCATGGACACTTTCTCTGTCCCACTGGTGTCTTGATTCCACTGAAATGACTCATAAACAGCTCATTTGATCCCAATCTCTGTCCCACTATGATATATATCCCACTATCATAATAATTATTCTGCAGGTATAATCATTTGAAGGACACCGTAGCTGAGGTCCGCAGTGAGTTGGACAGGCTGCGAGACCCTCTCCAGCTAAACCTGCCCACTTCTGGCCCCACTAGCCCTCTGACTGGAGACTCTAGCAATTGATTGATGCACTGTTGTTTTAGTACAAGTTCTCTATAATAGCTAGGCATCTCTGTACTTAGTCTACAATCTGGCTGTTTTGGTTGTATGGGATTAAAAATTTTCAAAGCTCGAACAACTCACACAGACGTTTTGTAAAGTCATGTTGTTGACTTGTTTGCTTTGCCTTTGCCTTCGTTACTGACGCACATGCAATTCAAGATTGCTGAAAGAGACATATGCTATTCGTTTTGTAGAGCCTTCAGTGTGCCTGAATAATATGTGCACAACGCAGTCTCTTTTGTGTCTGCTTTGTCAAACAGAAGTAGTCCCAGACCTCTACATGTTTGTTTATTCTCAAAAGTAAAGCGGAGCACTGAATTGCTTTTTCAATGAAAAGCACTGAAGTGCAAACCCTCGGCGCATTGTGACGCGCACGCGTAAGTAAACGCATGCGCCGTACCACTAATTGATGGGCTGGGTTTAGTTTAGCTGTTACTCGTGGTCTCTTCCCAGCTCGCGCAGAGTCTGACGCGGGCTAACTACACTACTAGATAGCATGCGAGAGGCGATACACGCCCTGCGTTGCATCTTCTGGTGCCTCTGAGGTACGCAGAGCACGCGGATCGATCAGACCGTGGTAAGCCGTCCGTTGCCTATTTGCATATTAGCTTTTTCGCGCTCTAGCTTTGCAACGGAGCAGTTTCAGACAAAACCATCCGAAATTTCTGACCTTCATTGCCCGTTAAGTAGGTCGTATCCTTTGTGAGACGAACAAACACCCGAGAAGTGAGATTGAGAGTAACAGACAGACACACACACAGACAGACCCAAGTACTGTAACCCTCGCTGCGCATGCGCGCCGAGGGTTAACTACCGTAACCCTCGCTGCGCATGCGCGCCGAGGGTTAATGAAAAGCACTGAAGTGCAAACCCTCGGCGAACTGTGACGCATAATCGTAAGTAAACCATGCGCCGTACACTAATGATGGGCTGGGTTTAGTCTTTAGCTGTTACGCGTGCTCTGCTTGCCAGCTCACGCAGAGTCTGACGCGGCCTAACTACACTACTAGATAGCATGCGAGAGGCGATGCACGCCCTGCGTTGCATCTTCTGGTGACTCCGAGGTACGCAGAGCACGCGGCGGGTCGTAGTAAGCCGTTGAGTATTTGCATATTGGCTTTTTCGCGCTCTAGCTTTGCAACGGAGCGTTTTCAGAGAAACACCGTTCGAAATTTCTGACCTTCATTGCCCGTTCAGTAGGTGGTATCCTTTGTGAGACGAACAAACACCCGAGAAGTGAGATTGAGAGTAACAGACACACAGACACGCAGACCCAAGTACTGTAAACCCTCGCTGCGCATGCGCGCCGAGGTTTAGCAATATGCAACACATTGACCATTGTAAAATATTGCGGAGAATTATTGCGATACCTGAACTTGTAGAATAGTTTTCACATTTGTCAAGCAAGAACGCTATAATAAATGGGGTGTCGGAAAGACCAAGAGCATTGTAGACTAGTTTTGATTGGCTATTATGAAGCAAGAAAACTCATGTAGCAGTAGAATGCAACGAAAACTTCACTGTGGATAATAAGTTGCCCTAGTTTTTGTACTTTTTTCAAGCATATTAAAGGAAGCACAGCTGAATTGACCATCTGTTACATATTGATTATAGCAATAGATTGCAGTGAAATTTGTTGTATCTAAGTAATGTTGATAGTTTTTGAACTATTATGAAGCAAGAAAACTTCCATGTAGCAGTAGAATGCACGAAAACTCACTGTGGATAATAAGGTGCCCTAGCTTTTGTACTTTTTCAAGCATATTAAAGGAAGCACAGCTGAATTGCCATCTATTTACATATGATTATAGCAATAGATTGCAGTGAAATTGTGTATCTAAGTAATGTTGATAGTTTTTGAACTATTATGAAGCAAGAAAACTTCCATGTAGAGAGTAGAATGCAACGAAAACTTCACTGTGGATAATAAGGTGCCCTAGCTTTTGTACTTTTTTCAAGCATAATTAAAGGAAGCACAGCTGAATCGACCATCTATTACACATTGATGTATAGCAAAAGTTTGCAGTGAATTTGTGGTTCTAGTATTTGGACTAGTTTATGAACATATGAAGCGAGAAAACTTCATGTAGCAGTAGAATGCAACGAAAACTTCACTGTGACTAATAAGTGCGCCTAGCTTCGTACTTTTTTCAAGCAAATGAGAGGAAGTGAAGCTGAATTAACAACATGCAAACACATTGACCATAGCAAAAATGATTGCGAGATTTATGCGATACCTGATACTTGTAGAATAGTTTTTCACATTGTCAAGCAAGCACGTATAGATGTGGGGTCTCGGAAAGACCAAGAGCATTGTAGACTAGTTTTTGAGCTATTATGAAGCAAGAAACTTCCATGTAGGCAGTAGAATGCAACGAAAACTTCACTGTGGATAATAAGGTGCGCCTAGTTTTGTACTTTTTTCAAGCATATTAAAGGAAGCACAGCTGAATCGACCATACTATTACACATTGATTATAGCAATAGATTGCAGTGAAATTTGTGGTATCTAAGTAAAATGATAATTGTAGACTAGTTTATGAACATATGAAGCAGGAAAACTTCCATGTAGCAGAAGAATGCAACGAAAACTTCACTGTGGATAATAAAGGTGCCCTAAGCTTTGTACTTTTTTCAAGCATATTAAGGAAGCACAGCTGAATTGACCATCTTACATATTGATTATAGCAATAGATTGCAGTGAATTTGTTGTATCTAGTAATTTTGTTGATAGTTTATGAACATTATGAAGCAGGAAACTTCCATGTAGCAGTAGAATGCAACGAAAACTTCACTGTGGATAATAAGGTGCCCTAGCTTTTGTACTTTTTTCAAGCATATTAAAGGAAGCACAGATGAATCGACCATCTTTACACATTGATTATAGCAAAAGTTTGCAGTGAAATTTGTGGTTCTAAGTATTGTGGACTAGTTTATGAACAATTATGAAGCGAGAAAACTTCCATGTAGCAGTAGAATGCAACGAAAACTTCACTGTGGATAATAAGGTGCCCTAGCTTTTGTACTTTTTTCAAGCAAACGAGAGGAAGTGAAGCTGAATTAACAACATGCAACACATTGACCATAGCAAAATATTACAGAGAATTATTGCGATACCTGATACTTGTAGAATAGTTTTCACATTTGTCAAGCAAGAACGTATAGAATGTGGGGTCTCGGAAAGACCAAGAGCATTGTAGACTAGTTTTTGAGCTATTATGAAGCAAGAAAACTTCCATGTAGCAGTAGAATGCAACGAAAACTTCACTGTGGATAATAAGGTGCCCTAGTTTTTGTACTTTTTTCAAGCATATTAAAGGAAGCAAAGCTGAATTGACCATCTATTACACATTGATTATAGCAATAGATTGCAGTGAAATTTGTTGTATCTAAGTAATGTTGATAGTTTTTGAACTATTATGAAGCAAGAAAACTTCCATGTAGCAGTAGAATGCAACGAAAACTTCACTGTGGATAATAAGGTGCCCTAGCTTTTGTACTTTTTTCAAGCATATTAAAGGAAGCACAGCTGAATCGACCATCTATTACACATTGATTATAGCAAAAGTTTGCAGTGAAATTTGTGGTATCTAAGTATTGTGGACTAGTTTATGAACAATTATGAAGCGAGAAAACTTCCATGTAGCAGTAGAATGCAACGAAAACTTCACTGTGGATAATAAGGTGCCCTAGTTTTTGTACTTTTTTCAAGCATATTAAAGGAAGCACAGCTGAATTGACCATCTATTACACATTGATTATAGCAATAGATTGCAGTGAAATTTGTTGTATCTAAGTAATGTTGATAGTTTTTGAACTATGGTGAAGCAAGAAAACTTCCATGTAGCAGTATAATGCAACGAAAACTTCACTGTGGATAATAAGTTGCCCTAGCTTTCGTACTTTTTTCAAGCAAATGAGAGGAAGTGAAGCTGAATTAACAACATGCAACACATTGACCATAGCAAAATATTGCAGACAATTATTGCGATACCTGATACTTGTAGAATAGTTTTCACATTTGTCAAGCAAGAACGTATAGAATGTGGGATCTCGGAAAGACCAAGAGCATTGTAGACTAGTTTTTGAGCTATTATGAAGCAAGAAAACTTCCATGTAGCAGTAGAATGCAACGAAAACTTCACTGTGGATAATAAGGTGCCCTAGTTTTTGTACTTTTTTCAAGCATATTAAAGGAAGCAAAGCTGAATTGACCATCTATTACACATTGATTATAGCAATAGATTGCAGTGAAATTTGTTGTATCTAAGTAATGTTGATAGTTTTTTAACTATGGTGAAGCAAGAAAACTTCCATGTAGCAGTAGAATGCAACGAAAACTTCACTGTGGATAATAAGTTTCCCTAGCTTTCGTACTTTTTTCAAGCGAATGAGTGGAAGTGAAGCTGAATTAGCACTGAAGTGCAAACCCTCGGCGAACTGTGACGCACAATCGTAAGTAAACGCATGCGCCGTACCACTAATTGATGGCTGGGTTTAGCTTTAGCTGTTACTCGTGGTCTCTTGCCAGCTCACGCAGAGTCTGACGCGGTCTAACTACACTACTAGATAGCATGCGAGAGGCGATACACGCCCTGCGTTGCATCTTCTGGTGACTCCGAGGTACGCAGAGCACGCGGGTCGATCATGCCGTAGTTAGCCGTTGTGTATTTGCATATTGGCTTTTTCGCGCTCTAACTTTGCAACGGAGCGTTTTCAGAGAAAACCGTTCGAAATTTCTGACCTTCATTGGCCGTTCAGTAGGTGGTATCCTTTGTGAGACGAACAAACACCCGAGAAGTGAGATTGAGAGTAACAGACACACAGACACACAGACACACAGACCCAAGTACTGTAGTCCAAGTCCAAGTCCAAGTTCATGTTTGAATGGCCCGCCCGGGCATGACATGTATACAGACAAGTTAAAAAACATGTAGGAAGCATAACACATGACTGAAGAAGGTGGGGTCCATGGTAGTCAAAGAGTCAAGTAGAGTGCATCAGGAGTTGTCTCTCTAACTCTGATTCGCACACATCCAAATTTATACCATGGTTAGCAAGACGGTTCATGGCGACAATTACGAGAAACAAACCACTAGTGGGAGGGATATAAGGACCCCTTTTGACAGAAGATATGGATCTTCAACCGACTGGCGACTTGTATCTGGCGAACATCAGCGCCTCCATTTTCCCGCGTGTCAAGTACTAGCATGCGCGCCAAGGGTTAAAACCCTTGTGCACACTCTAACAGCACCTCCTCCTCCAGCTTCTCATAATGTTTTGGATTTGGGAACAGCCGTCGTGCATCTGTGCTTTGAAGAAAACGTCAAAACTGTTAAAATTTAGTTGCATTATCTACAGGTGTTCTGAATGAGACTCGTGCAACAAACAGTTTTGGTGTGCCAGGCTTGTTTCTATTCACACCCAATTCAAGGCGAGTCAAACAAAGCCAAAGAAAAGTGCTAAAGTGCAACATTATAGTTCAACACTTCCACTGCTTTAGTCTGTCATTTGCTTTGCCTAGTAGTTCCTACATGCATGCAGTGAGGATTTAGCACTGGTTACGACTTTCAGCTAAACTATCAATGTCAGTACTCTTCGGTATACTGCTACTCTTATTCTTGGCTGATTTCAACACTTGTCAGCAAAAGCTTTCGACGACCCCCTACCTGATTCTGAATGGCAGCCTCTCGAATCACAGCTACCTGAACTTTGCCGAGCTAGAGCGAGGCTCAGGAGCGGCCATCAGTTGCTTCTCTGAGAGGATGACTTGCTGTACAGCCTCAAATAAAGCCTCATTATGGGTAAATCCACACGGAGTCGAAATTAACAATGAAGTGATAGATGGGCTAGCTGTGGAGTATGGTGTGATGGTGATTAAACTTTGGACAGGTTCTTTTGAGGATGCAAAACCGGTGTCTGGAATATACACGTGTGATGCTAGGTTTGAAGGAGCTAACAGTGGCAGAAACCAAATCTATGTTGGCCTTTATAACACTGGAGGTAAATAATTGTCTCATGTAGCTATACCAAGAGTCTATAGAATACCACAATCTACATTTGTAGTGGATGTATTGGAGTTTGAAGTAGGCCTATACCAACTCTTAGTAAAATCACGTCAATAGCTACATGAAGGTTAACTACACCTAATTATTATTGGGTTATAGGAGATGTTGAAGTATCAGATTTTGTGAAGTTGGCTGTTGACTCTGACCTCAATGGAGCCAGTCCTCAGTTCACCATCACCTGTATCTCCACTGGTGGACCTGCTACCACTGTCACTTGGACACGAGACTCCCAGCTGGTACAGGGAGAAACAAGGAGCATTCTGAACGATGCCGTGGCAGGACGGTACACCCACAACCTGACAGTGACTGGGAGACATCCGGGAAAGTACAAATGCAGTGTCTCCAACAATAAACCTTCTTCTGACTCTGCAATGTTCACGGTGAAAGGTACATCATAATCATCAACATTAACTACTTACTGTAGCTTCATGTCGCACATTAATCACAACATAAATTGTGGTAGAAATTGGTGCCATTGCTTTTCCACCTAGCCAGATATGTAGCATAGGTGGCGCATTCAGTCTTAGTGCAACAGTTCCTATGCTGTGCTGTCACGTGCTGCCATGCATGCAACCAGGAGAATGGAAGGTTAGCTACGTGCAATTCAGACGACAGTTTTTGCCATAATAGCTACCTTTGCAGTTCAAAGCTCTTTCTTCTTCCACTATGCAGTTGGAACAGCTCCAAATGTGACCAGAATATGTCAGGTCTCAGCCACTTGTGCCCTCATTGAATGGACTCCACCGAATCCTCTTGGAGACACCACTGGCTACAGAGTCAACTACTACACCAGCGAAGATGGTTCTAACACACCAGTCATCAATACTGCCCCTGTTTTAGGGGGTCTCCAATCAACTAGCTACATATTGAGCGGTCTTAATAGTGGAGTGTACTACTACATATCAGTTGAAGGAGTCTCTAAACATTTCTACAGTGGACAGCAACAGGCTGTGTTTCATCTCCTCCACTTTGGAGAGGAGCCTTCTTGTGATGGGGAGAAAGTTGGAGAGGGAGGAGGGGGAGGAGGTGGGGAGGAAGGGGAGTGTGGAGGGAAAGGGAGCAGTATTGGGGAAGGCGGAAGTGAGGAAGGGGGAGAAAGAGAGGAGGGTGGACGTGAAGAAGAAGAAGAAAGTGGAAAGGGAAAAGAAGGAGAAGAGAGTAGCATGGTTGTACTGGCAGGACTGATCGGTGTCATCATTGGAGGTTTAACAGGATGTTTGGCTACAGGGGCATTAGTTATATGCGTGTACTACACAAGAGGCCGCAAAACATTAACCCAGTAAGCTAAATATGCCAAAATGTATGCATATGTTCATGTCGTAGTAGCTATAATAAGGGTATATACTGTGGGACGAAACACTGTAGCTATATGTGGTGAAACCCTGAAAAAAGGACAACCCTCTATTAAACTACACTTGGTCCCATAATCATTCGAAATATAGGATGCCTTTGAATAAGGGACACCCCGAAGGTTGTAATCATAGGTATACACCTAGCAGAAATTGTTTATCAAACTGTAATTGACAACATTGTGTTCTTCATATATACAGGAAGTCTCGGCACTCATCCTCAACACGACCAGAATCAGAGTATGCTCCTCCTCCTTCCTACCGTGCAGACGTCACAAGGCCAACCCAACAACTCAACTCTGCCAACAAAAGAAGATCAGATGTTCTTACGATAAATCCAGCCTACGATTTCTCACCCTCGCACACGAGTCTCAGAGATGACATGAGGCATGAGACTGTCAACGGAGCTTACGGCGTCTCTCCAGTGAATTTGAATCTGGCAAGAAATCTACTGCGTCCTGAGCCTCCCACCAACCCTCCTCCTATCTACTATGATGGACTTAATACATAGTTCAGAATTAATACTCCCAGTGAAATAACACATGTGCATGAGTGTATGTATTACTGAACCCTTCATTTTGTTTGCTACTGCCACCTCCATTTCAACAGCACATAAAGATAATTATAATACTGGAATGTGCATGAAGAACAAAGAACCAAGTGCAATAGCTGTAGTTGATTTTTCTTAGCAAAGGTCCACTTGTGTAATTCCCAAAACTAGTTTTCGCAAACATCCTTAGCTGGTGCGTATAACCCACGTGTGCTTCCTCCGGATAGCGCGCCCCCGGCCCGGCTTCCGTGGGGCGAAAACATGCGCAATTCTCCCGGCCCGCGAGGCTATCCCGCACCTACTCCATCCTGTAACGTCCCTTATTTAGTAATAGAACGGCGAAGCGAGCATTCGCGCATCTGGTCTACAACGACTATTTGATTATGCGCCGACGCCGACCACGTGCGCCGCGGCTGCCTAGAGATTCGCCAACAGAGCACCGCACGCAAATGTCAACACGCGAGACACTCATAGGCTGCAGTTGCAGAAGTGGTCAAGTAGGTATGCGGAGAGACCATCTAACCACGCGTGATCTAACATGTACTTCCGCAGATGGCTGGTTTCTCAGTGTCTAACCTATGTGCAATGCCATTACACCTGGCGCCGTCACTATATAAGTAGTTGAATTTGTTGCTACTGATAAAAAAAATACTGGTCGTGTATACACGTGGACCCGACTTGACGGACTTTGTTG